AACTCTAGACGTCCAGAATCAAGGCATTGTCTGAGCCCTACACTCCCAGAGCTCCTGGGGGAGAACCCCTGCTCTTTCAGCTTCTGGTGGCCCCAAGTTTATGGCCTTTGGTTTATAGCAACACAACTCCAATCCCGGCCTCTGTGCTCATGTGGCCTCCCCTGTCTGTCTGAGCGTTCTTCCTCTTATAAAGACACCAGTCAAACTGACCTCATCTCAGCCTGGTTTCCTGAAAAGCTCTGTTCCTAAAGAAGGTCAGAGACACAGGACTCAAACGTGTCTGTTTTGGAGACATAGTTCAAGCTATAACACATGGATATAGTGGAAATCAAAGCTGCTTCCCTACATTTCTGGAGTAAATGTAGGAGCTTGCTTCTTCAGTTTAGAGCTTACCTCCTAAGAGAGGAAATGGCTTTTGTGGTGCTAATTCTAAAGAGAGACAATCTGGTCCAGTGTAATTTATGTAGTTTTCAATAGTAAAATCTTAGAAATAGCTTTAGTATCCATTAGAAGGGGATGAATTAAACAGTGCAAGGGAGTAGCATGCAGCCATGAAAAAGGATGGCGGCCAGTGCTGTGTGCATGCATGTATGCAAACACCTGGCTAGGTCTGTTTGTGCTGCTATAACAAAATGATGTCAATTGGGTGGCTTATGACCAACAGAAATGTATTTTTCACAGTTCTGGAGACTGGGAAGTCCAAGATCAAGGCCCTGGCCAATCTGGGGTCTTGCGAGGGCCTCCTCTTCCCTGTGTCCTCACATGGCAGACAGCAGAGAGATCACCTGTCTTATGTCTGTGCTTATTAGGGCAGCGATCTCACTCCCAAGCCCCCACCTCCTGATACTGTGACGTTGGGGGTGAAGTTTCAGTGTGAATTTGGGGGACACATCCAGTCCACAGCAAGATCTCTAGGATACATGAATTGAAACGTGTAAGATGCAGAGCAAGGTGTACAGTGCACATTTTGAGCACAAGAAGAGGAGTTAAGTTTATATGTGCATTTCCTTGCATCCTGACTGCGTAAAGAGCAATCGGGAAGGATTTAGAAGGAACAAATAAAGCATTTCCAGAGACCGAAGGAAATACAATGATCAGGGATAGGCAGGGCATGAGGCTTCCCTATATTTATTTTGTTATAGTATTTAAATTTTGAACTATGGAAATAAATTTTCTATTTAAAATAAAAGTAACAAATTAAATGCACATGCCTGGGATCTGGTACATACACCTCCAGGAACCTCTCCCATACATATTTTCTTATATTCCTCCAACGATACCTCCTAGGACATTGGCCACAGCAAAAGACTGGAAATGACTTGAATGTATACTAAAAGTTGAGCAGTTAGGTGAGTTAAGTTACAGTCATGCAGCGAAACACCATGCAGCTGTTACAAAAACTATGAAACATACATTGATATAAAAAGCTCCCAAAAGATACTTAGTAAAAAAATGCAAGATAAAAACATTGTGCTCCCATTTTTGATAAACACAATGCATCCATATACACTCCCTACATACCCTATTTTCTTACTGAAAAAGACCACGTACAGGTCCTCTCATCTATATCTTAGTGTGTGTAAAATTTCTGGAAATAAATACTGTGCAAGAATACTGTGTTGCCAGTGGGGCCCTTGGGATGAACGTGGGAATGTTCCGGGTAGGAAAATTGCCTACGTTTCATTGCAACACTTTCAAATTGGATGCCTTTTATGTGGTACGTGATCTTCTTTTTCAGCTAAAAACATTTATAAAGAAATAAAAACACATCTATACAACGGAAATGATGCACTGCAACATAAACAGAGCTAAGGACTCTCTTCGTGTACTTTTACAGAACAGAATGCAAGGTACAGCAATTTATAGAGTATTTTTAATTTTCAGTGTTTCAGGGTTCCCCATACAATGTGCTGCCTGTTTCCCATTCTCTATGTTGGCCAGCTCACCCTTCTCATCACTTTGGCTTTGGTCCTAGTACATCTCTGCCTTTCTGTCTAAGAGGAAGGCTGCCTTTTGTTTTAGCCTTGCTATTGGCCTTCCAGTTGAAATGAAAGCTCTTCACTGGCTTATAAATATGAATGACCCACCCTACCTCTATGGGCCCCACATCCCACCTGCAAATAAAACAGACTGCATTGCAGGGATGTGGTAAGAATTTGAGAGAATATAAATATAAATATGTGCTGTTTATCACCTGGGGCTCCGAGGCTGGTCTCACCATGGTGGCTATTGCCACCATTAACACGCCTCATGGTGTGGCCGTCGGGCCTGCAGGCCAGAGGAACCATGTCCAGGCTGTGCACCAGGAGAGGTTAGGTTTGCTGCATTATGGCTAGGCTATTGCAGGAAGCACAGCGTGTGGCTGCTGTTTTGGCCATAGTGGCCAGATGCTGGAATATCAAAGCTTTGGCTGCTAGGGACCATTCAGAATTCACTAGTCTGTGGGTGTAGTTTGGGCTTGTTTTTGCCTGTATGGGGCACATAACTGTCACTCTTAGGAATGCTTGCTCCCATCTTTCTTGTAGCCATGTATTTCATCCAGTGGCTACACTCCCAGGCCACTTCTGGCTGTCATTACGGCCCACGATCCATTGGGCCTGCTTGTGTTTGAGTCCCTGTTTATGAACAGAATCTTTCAAAAATGGAAATGAAAATATCCATGTTGCCTTTCTTCATCTTTACAGAGCCAAAAAGAAAAACCCCTGCCCCTCCGTGTTTTCTCCATTTTGTCTCCCAGGGCAGCTCTGGGTCAAGTGGTTGCCCTGATTATCTAGTTGGCTTTCTGCCTTGATGCATTTATGGAGCCTTTTATTATTGACTTTGGATTTCCCTGTAAGGTACTCCAAAAAAGCATTTTAAAACAGTCTCTAGTGGGCAGTTTACATTTTAACTGCTCCTTTCATTATCGTCCTCAGCACTCTGACATAGCTCCCTTTTCTAGAATTAAATAACCACAGGACAGCTTTGGGCTCTGTGTCTCTCCTGGATGTTGAACTTGGCCCTGCTGTGGTCTTTATTATGTAGTGTTTTAGTGAGAGTCTCATGATCCTTCGCGCTCATCACCTCCCTCCTAGTTTTTGTTTTCCAGTTACACAGCATCTTGATAAATGAAGGCCTGGTGAGTTAGGGCCATCTTGGTTTGTATTTTTGGAGAATCTAAGCATCCCTGACAGTCTGTTAAGGGATCGTGCTTATGGAGCTGTACAATGTGTGAGAATGTGGTGGGACCAAAGGAAAGATTGGTGGCCACTGTTTCCCAAAAGTCCTCTGGTTCCAGCTGAGTAAAATCTCCTTCCACTATTAATTAATCTAGGATTTAAGGCTGGAGATTTGCCTGTCTCTTGGGTTTTATTTTAGATGCTATAGTACTTTGGAGACCATTTTACTAGAAATATAGACTTGGATTTTTATGGGTTTCCTTGCTTCACTTGCCTATGTCACACTTTCCTGAATCCCAGCTCTGGGATGGTCACTGTCCATCTTTCTCTCAACTCCTCCACACCGAGCATCCCTATGAGACTGGTCTGATCTCACTTGGCACACCAAGAGTTCCACGAATCATGAGAATTTCCCGGGGAACTTTCTGGTAGAATACAGCTCATCACAAGTCCAGTACTTGTGAATACAATGTTTCTAAGGCTATAAGTCAGAGAACCTCCCCATTACCAACTTCCCCTCCTCTTCCCCAAATATGTCCCCAGTGCCCTTGAAACCATACTGGCACAGCACCCATTAGGTTTGGTCTAGGATGGTAACCCTTTTGTTACCTACAATAAGGACTTTTTCCTTTTTTAGTTTCCCCATGTTTGTCTCATGCCGTCATAGATGGGGCTTTTTCAGAGGTAGCTGGATCTAGACTGCATAACACTGGGATTGATTCATGGTGCAATGCTAGGATCAAGGGCACTAGGATTAAGGGTTTGAGTGCTACCTGCCCTAAGCAGCCTGGATAAGATATAAGGGATAGAAAGAGCTGTGGTCCACCCTTGTTGTTCTGCTGCCTTCTGCCCACCATGAACAGTTTCTCTTCTGTGATGCCTGTCTGCCATGCCACCCTGTCTTGGAGCCAGCCAATTATGGACTGAGACCTCTACAAACTGTAAGCTAAATAAAACTTTCCCCTTTTAACTTGTGGGTGTTGGGTATTTTGTCTCAGCAACAGGAGAGAAGTAACTAATCTAGGGGCTCTTTCCCAGAAGTCCTTGGGTGATCTGCCCACACAGCACTGGGCAGGATTTGGCCAGGATCACTGAAACCAAGCACAGACCACTTGTGACTTCCCATGGAACCAGAAGTGGAGTAACTGTCCTCTGAGTGACGGGGGGTGGCAGTGTGGGGGACTGGCTGGGCAGTGGGGAGGAGAAGAGTTGTCTCCTGACCCCATCAGAGCTCTGCAGAGAACAAGGGGCAGCGGGATGGAAAGTGGTCATCATTTTGAGCTCCAGGCTGCCCTCCCATGGGGACCTGTCATCACTCTCTATTCTCATGCTTGGAGCGTGTGGAGGACCCAGGAGGGACAGCAGCAGCAATGCTCATAGATGGCTCCGTCCTATGTTATAGCAGCTTCAGTGCAACTTAAGGGCCCTCAGTCAGGCTGGGAACTTGAGGCTCTGAGTGCCAAAACCTGGGGCACAAGGGCACTGATACCTCAGGATGTGCTCCATGTCACATCTGGGCTAACACCACTGGCCTTCCCTCAGGGGTGACAATATAGACAAGAACTGAGAGGCACGAGGGGTGTCCATAATGTGTCACCTAACCCATGCACTACGGAAGAAGGGTTGGCCTTGCTTAAAAAATAGTGGTGTTTGGATGGTTGTTTCCCCCACTTTTTTCCATTTCCTTTCTTTTCTCTGGTTTTTAATTTTTAAGATGAATAAACATATTTTATAATGGGAAAATAATAAACTTTACTTGGAAAGAAAGTATTCTAGACTTGTCATTTAAAACAGCATAGGAAATCCCCACTTTAAATAAGAACTCTGATGGTCAGACTCAGGTAATATTTGAAAATAAACCAACTTTATTTGAAACCAGCCCATTCCAATCAAGACCAGGAAACAAATTCATAATTGCTCCAGAGTTATGAGGAAAGCACTCAGCTCTATCTTCATTAAAAGGCATTTTACATTCATTAAGGCTTGAAAGCAAGGCCTGTTATTTTATCACCACAGTTAAAGGTCTCAGGAAAATCTAGTAACTATCATTCGGAGTGTCTTTATTAAATGAATGCTTGTTCTTTTATAAAAGCTAGGCATCTTTTACTAACTCAGTTAACTCCCCGGCTTAGAAAATGGTACAACTCAGTGGCCAGGAAAAAAAAAAGACAAATTCAAACATCAGCTGGATATTTTATATTTTAAATATATGCATAGTTAATATTGTGAGATCTCTAACTATATACAAAATGCCTTAGACTAATTAGATCTTTAAAACTGTGTTTCCCCAAAAACTAGATTGCATTAATAGAAACACAGGTTAGCCCAGACCTTATGTAGAGGCAATATTTCATTTACTTTTGGTTAGTACAGGGAGTCGAATTTACTTCTTTAAAGGACATTAAATGAGGTTATGCACAGTTTGGGTCATATCTGATTATGAGACTTGAGTGTCTGCAGTTAGGCTGGAGAAGGATACAGGGAAGGGAAAAGAGTGGGGATTTGCATGAGGACACGGGCTGTGTGGTCTGAACAGGGGCCTGGGTGCAGAGGGGCTGGATGGCCAGTGACGACATCACTCATGGTCTGCTGATGTCAGAACAGACTGGGTATTCACGCCTACACTTCTTTCTCTAGTGCTTTCTTAATATTCTTCTTAATGTCATAAAGAACATAAGAAAGTGACCCCTTGAGAATCATTGAGCTTAGTTTTTAACCATGAGTTTCCAAGGAACAGCACCACTGAGCTGGCCCCTGGGCCCTGGGGATAGAGGTGAACACAGACAAAGCTGCTTTGAGACCCTCGGACAGAGACGGCCACAGTGATGGTAAGCTCACACCAGAGAGAACTTCCTGTCTCTGCCTCCTTTCCATTCTGTGTTTAGGCCTTGCTGACTCGTGGGACTCTTAGACCGCCTGTGTCTGCTCCTTCGTGTGACCACCCTAAGACGCTTGATATTGTCTGACTGCAGAGCAACCACCGAGTAGCACAGGTGCAGTGAAAGGCTCCCTTGTTCCATCTGAGAAGGGCCGGAAGACACTTCCGGTGTTGCCTTGTGTTAAGAAGATCAAGCTCCTCTCCAGCACCAGCAGCTTGAGGAGGGAACACTGAAGAGGTGGCCTTTCCTGGGAAGCTGAACTTGCTTGGGATCGTGTAGCCAAGCAAGCTGGCTGCATCTCCTCCATTTTTGCTGCTTTGCCTGCCACCAGGAGGCTAGAAGAAGTGATTCATACTCCTGTGATTCCAAATTCACCTGGCATTTGCCTTCCTTTGTCAAGAGATAAAGGAACTGTGCTCTGACTCAATCAGGATTATATTTATCAAGCTCTTCTTGCAGAGTTATTAAAACTGCATCCAATACTTCTCTCGGCCACATGCAGAGGTAGGCAGTCCAGAGCAGGGACAAATTCAACTCTGTAATGCTGAGTTTGACTCTAGTTCTCTGCCTCTGCCTTCCACTAACCAGCCCAAAAAATGGTGATATGAAAGTCAAAGGAGAGAAAAATACAAAAGAAAATAGGATCTCAACACAAATAATGCCCTTTCTGTGCTACCAAATGTATTCTCCAGGACTGATTGCAAAGATGTCTCCATCCAGGACTCTGAGGTGAGGAGTGCTTGGAGCAAATGGCCTCACAGCACGGAGGATGCCACAGGGCAAAGTTAAGGCCAGTGCCCAGAGAGGCCCTAGGATTTGGACAAAAATCTCCTTTGAATAAAACTGGAAGGTAATATTACTGTTATTTCATATACTGTGATGAATCTGCCCATAAGACATCATGACTCTAATAACTCAGTAGTCAGTTAGTTGCGTTACATGATAAGCTACAGCTGAAATGAAAAGATATTTCTGAACAAAGGGCCCAGAAAGGCCTTGCCTCCATAACTCCTGCCTGCCTTTGAAGGGTTATAATGGATCTGTAATACCCCCTGCCATGCCTAATACTGCTATTTATGTGTGCTCACTCAGCCCCAGGCAGAACGCCCAGGGACAACAGACTTGGTTTGGCCCATTTGACAGCTTCTACCTGTCTCCCTTCAGACATCGCCAGGGGTGCAGAAAGGTCCTCCAGTGGGGGACAGGAATGGGCTCACCCAATGCCCTGCTGACTGCATCCTCTTCTTCATGGGGGTAGGAAGAGACCCCCTGCTTCCTGCCCTAGGTTTCATTGTGAGTGAATTTTTCTTTGGAGATTCCTGGGGTCAGTGGGTCAGATGAGTGTGTGGGTTAGGACTGCTGTTTCTGTGTAAAGGACCTGGCCATCCTGTTCTCCCCAGCAGTGTGCTTTCCCTTGGGTCAGGGGGATCCTCGGCCTCCTCCCAAAGCACAGAGGGAGGGGTTGGGGATGTTTCTTCACAGTGTTCCCCCAAGAGGAGCTGAGGCTTAGTCCATTCTCTCTGTTTCCTCTGTGCAAGAGGAAGGCCAGGAGGTGACAGGCAAGGGGAAGGACTAAGGGGGACAATGAGCAGGAACATTACTGCCCTTTGTCATCCAGCAGTTGGAAAGTTAATCCAGATGGGGACCCGTTTTTCTTCCAGTTCACACCACATGGTTTCGAGGTCAGGAGGGCCCATGACTTTCTGCTAAGACGTCCCACCATCATTCCACCTCTTCCATGTGCTTCTGCCTGTCCTGGGCCACCAGGAAACCCCGGGGAGCACCAACCAGCAAACCCATGGTCAGGGAAGCTCAGAGAGACCAGAAAGACATTTTTGGCCAGGTCTGGGGTGCTCACTATGAGGTTGGTAGTTAGTGACATCAGCAGTCCAAGGCTTAGCTCGTGAGAGAGGAGCCAGTCTGACCATGACCAAGGGGCACTGAGCCTCATAAGGAGCCCCTCGGCCGGTACCCATGCCCCCTCCACCCTCCCCCTTCCTCACAGCTTCCTGGAAGCCACTTGCTGATGTGCAGTCAAGCCAGATGAGCGATCTCACCACACAACCACTCCTAAGCGTGCAGACCCATGACTGCAGACCCCTGGGGCCTTTTGGCACCAACAGTGCTCCCCTCCCTCCCCATCCTAGTTACCCCAGTTTGGAATTGCACAGCAGCTTCCTTCCTGATACCTGGACAGGCGAAAGCCGCAGTTGGCCAAGGTTGTGGATTGCCAGGATGTCTGGGAGGAGTTTGCAGTCCGGTCTTGGAGCATCTGTGGGCATGAGCGGCTGAGAGCAAATATGCTGCCAGATGCCCAAAGCCCAGGCCAGCTCAGTCCTCCTGGCCCCTCTACCTTCCCTGGCAAGGGGCAGACTCACTCTAGCTAGAGCAGCATGGGTGCTTGCCCTTGCGGGTCCGATATGGAGGAGCTGGTCTAGCACTTGCTAAAGCATCTGAGAGATATTAGGATATGGACAGAAAGCACTGTGACCACCCACAGGTGGATCCCCAGACTGACCCCAAATCCACTGACCCAGACTCGGCTGGCAGGTGAGAATTGGCCATTTCTATCCTCCCTGCCCGCCAGCTTCGCAGGTGTCCAGACAGAGGACATGCTGACCTTCAAAGCCAGCAGGCTGTGGTTCCGGGGAGCCAGCAAGAGTGGCCTGATAAAAATGTTCCCAAGGCAGCGAGGAAGAGGAGTCTGTGGAGCCCGTGAAGCCAGAGCCCTGGGGGTGAGCGGCGTCCGCTGCAGCAGGCAGGCGGGGACGCTGCTCAGGACCTGCTGAGACGCTTGGCGACGTCGGCATAGGCCAGCTCGATCTCACTGTCAGCTGCACAGGTGTTGGTGAACTCGTCCCGGGCGTAGGCGTTCTTGAGGTACCGCCACAGCCCTGTCATCTCAGCAGGGAAGTCATAGTTGCGGTATTTCTTGGCCACGATCTAAACAGAGAGATGAGACAGAGACAGGTAAAGGAGGAAGGCGGCCCTCAGGAGGTGTCCAGGGGGTGGCCCAGGGCACGGACACAGCTGGAGGACCCCCGTGCAGTGCCACGGGCCATGCCCCAAATGTCTGCGGTGTGGGGGCAGGGCTGTCTCCAAGTTTTATTTGATATTTCTTACGTTTATATAATTTGTCCTTCAGCCTAGTGGCTCCACATCTAGGGATTTTTCCTTAGGAGATAATCATGGATGTGGACAAAGGTTTAACTACACTGCTAGGATCAGGCACCCTAAATAGCAAACAGCGGTACAATACCAATGGCCAGTGATATACGAGTGGGTGATTAACGCTAAGTACAATGGCACCCACAAAGCTATTGAAAATGATCCAGTGGTCTAGAGAACTCGAGATAGACTGTTACACTGAACCCATTATATAGCGCATTTATAGAGACAGTTCTATTACGAGGGGCAATAGCTGCCTTGCAGGTAAAACCGAGGCCTTCCCATTCTTTTCCACATAGAACTTCTCTATAAAAAATCCCCTCTGTTAAAATGACGAGTTTGGGTGGCCACCAAGGAAGCCCCCACAATGTCTGTCCAGTGTAGAGGAGGCCAGTGATCAAAGGTGACAGAATCAGAGTCCTGTGACAAGTGCAGGCCACCCAGGATGGGAGGGAACGGAAGTCACACCCATGCCAGTCCCGCAGCCCCACTGTGTTCACTGTGAGATGCAGCTGCCCAGGTCTGCCCATGCCTTGGAGAAGCAGCTGCCTTCCGCCTAGGGCAAACCCATGGGAAGCTGTACTCCCGGCATGGAAGAGCCAGGTATGGAAGAGCCCATAGAAAACGAGCCGTCCGGCAACAGATGTTCTTCACAGCTTGATGGCACAGCCTTAAATGTGTCCATGCGGAGATTTTATTCTCAGGCCTTTTTGTTTTTCCAGTGCTGAGGATCAAACCCAGGGTCTTGTGCATACTGGGCAAGTGCCCAAGTTCTCGAAGAACAAATTATAGCTTGAGAAATGAGGAAATGAGATGAATGCATCTGTTTGTGTTTATATTTGGGTCTCTCTTCCTGTTTGTTTCAGGGGGACACGGTCACTGCGCTGGGCCAGGACAGGTTGCAGACTCCCTCCTTGCCATGCTGGATACCTGCTGCTGCTTTCTGGGCCAGGGCCACTCAGGTCCGTGGCCAGGGCTGGACCTGAAAGGCAGCCAGGTGAGGGCACACACATGCAGCTGTGAGGCGCAGGGATGTCCATGCTCATGTTCTGCATTTGCTCTTTCATATGAAAACAGTTAGCTCCTACAGCCCAGATTAAGTTTTGGCGTCTGAGGCCAAACTGGAGGCCGCTCAGCTCCCCCTCTGCTCTTGTGCACACGGAGAGGTTTGCCAGGTCCTGGATCTGATAAGTGGGATCAGCAGAAACGGAAGGAGACAGCAGTGAGGCACAGCGTCCTTCCTCCCAGCCATCCTCGTCTGGTCCCGAGGCTCTGGGGAGCAGTCTACTGAAGTCCTCCGAGGACAGGATTCACTTGGCCATGTGTGGCTAGAACGAGCCGGAGGAATCACAGGCTGGTACACCAGGCTGGGAGAGCCGTTTGTTTGCCTGATTCAAGCAATGATTCTTGAGTGTGTGGTTAATATCTGTCAAAGCGGCAGAGGAGGAAGGGAGAAAGGACAAGGAGGCAAGGGGAGATGTAATCTGCACTCTTCCCTCCAGTGAGGGAAAAGTGACATCCCTGGGGCCCAGCATATCCCTCAGGAGAGGGAGAATGAAGCACACTCTGGGGAGCAGGGTGCACACTAGTTAATAACCTCAAAGTGACCTCACTTGGTTGCTCCTACAAGTGACCGTTGGCTTGGCTCTGAGCCCAAAGAGTCTGCATATTAATGATTGTGTTTGCTCAACCATGCGTTCCTGTCTCTGACCGAGGCCAGAAACACCAGTGTGTACCCGGCTGTGTGATTTCAGCTGGGCTGGGCTCTGAGCAGGAGAATCTGCATTTGCAGCTCAGGACTATGGCTGGGGAACAATAGGCCCAAACCCCGCCCATGGATGGTGGGCTCTGGTTCTTCTCAGAGAAGGGTAGAAAGATACTGGGTATCGTCAGAGAAGGGTGTGGCAGGCATGGTCCTTTGGAGACTTTGGCAGTAACTTCTTCAGAGAGGCGAAGGAGGGCGAAGGCGTCCTGTGTTGCTCTTAAGGATAGAGGGGCAGCAGGGACCACACGTGGGACCCCACAAGGAAGGTTACTGTAACAATCAGAGGTGTTCCAAGTGGTAAGGCTGGCTCATTCGGCACGGGGCCCCCCCTCACCAAGAGACGTGCCACCACCCTGCCCAGAAGCCTGTCCCAGACAGAGCAGAAAGCTGACCAGTTTGGATCTGGAGATTGACTTAAAATTCCCTTCTTCCTGACTCTCAGATTGCTATGTAGGATTTCACTGTATCGCTAATGGTCCAAGAGGTCCCCATCCCCTGCCCCTGCAGCCTCCAGCGGTGCAGCCGATCACGGGGAAGAGGATGGTGTCTCCCCAGGGAGCCACTACAGGGTCTGTGTACCAAGGACATGGATGCGGACATGGGGCTGCACCAATGGAGATGTGGGCTGTGGCAGGGGCAGCTCCAGGAAGAGGCCTTTGATGTGCTCTGACTGCACCCAGCATGCACTCCTATATGTGGAGCCCCTACAATATGCAGGCATTTCCACACCACATTTTCTCTGTGCAACCCTAAAGTGAGCCATATCCACACCTTTAATGAACACAGATGAGCTCCGAGAGGCCGACAGCCAGCGAGCAGTGGCTCCCAGCACTGCACCCCATCTCAGCCCCCATGGCCTGAGCTCTCTTACCTTGACCACATGGAGCTTGGGCAGCAGGTTGCAGTCTGCCAGGGTCAGCTCATCTCCATCCAGGAACTTGCGCCGGGAGCCCTTGTCATTGTCCCCGAGTGTGTTGATGTCAATCTCCTCGGGCAGGGGGGTGCTCAGGTAGTCATCCAGCTTCCTCAGGGCCTTGGTCAGGCCCCGCTCCAGGGCTGGTGGACAGAGCAAAGGAAGGGAATTTAGCCCACTCGCTCATCCCTGCATAGAGACACAGGGACCCTGGAGAAGGGCAGCTAATCCGGGGTCTTTTGGTCCTCCCCTTTCTGCCAGCTCACCACTCATGCAGGACACCTGGGAGCCATCAGCCTGGGCCCGTGAGAGGTGTCCCAAGCTGGAACATGCTAACCTGGGACACATGATGAACACACACTAGGCCCGGTACACAATACAGAAGCACAGCCCTTGGGATTCCTACCCCGTTTATACTGCTTACCGCACGCAAGTGCCATAATGCTCCTCAACTTTTACATTAGTTTGCCTATCTATATTTTGTACACATTCCACAATAGGCCCACATGTTAATTGTGTAGAAAAAAAGGTGATTAAACAATAGAAACATCTAGATGTCCTGAAACAGAGATAGGACCAGATCCTGGGGAAGTGTTCACTGTGGCTAACTCAACCCCAGAGGGGCAGGGGACACCACCAGTAGGAACAGGGGCAGCTCTGCTGGGTGCCACTCTCAGAAAAGCCATGGGTGCCCACCCGGGAGGCAGCCTGCAGCTTATTCTAGGACCTGTCCGTTGCTACAACTCAAAGGTGTCCCCAAGGACAGGGCCAGTGCAGCAGGCAGCAGTGTCACCAAAGATGCGCATTCCCAGCTGCTCAGAGCCTTGTTGGGGATGGAGCCCAAAGAAGGAATGCCCACAGGAAGACGGTGTGGCTGGAGACTGTCATAGTCTTGCCCCAGTAATTATCAATTGAACAATTCACTTAGATACGGGAGCTGAACAAAGTCCCCAGAGAACAGCGCAGGATGTCACTACCACCAAGAAACATGGAGTCCATTCCAATCGCCAGACTCTGTCCTAGAGCGCTCCCACTGTAGCACAGAGTGCAGCTAGGTTCCACTGCACCTCTGTCACCAGCCTTGTCCTGAGAGCTGTGTCCCCAGGCTCTAGTTGAGCTCAAGCATCAGGCCTGGGGTGCAGGCCAGCCGAGGCAAGGAGGTGTCCCCCTTGGGAGGAGAAATCAGGCAGAGAGAGGACCGAACTGCGGCTCACATCCCCCTAGATGTGCCTTCCTAGCCACTTCTCACAGGCGCAGACTGCCTTTTGGTGAATGCCTTTTGTTGGAGACAATGGAACAACCCCAGCCCAAGATGAATCAATTGAACCCTTACTGGAATATTTCGAGCTGGCTGGGGGCGGGACACGGTTTCTCAATGCTTCTTTCTCCCTGGGGTGGCATTGACCATGCGCAGCCTCATCTGCTTTGTGTTCCCAGTTTGGGGGAACAGTGAGCTGCCTGGGAAAATCCCGCCTGCGCTTAGCGCTTAGCGATTGTCTAGACTTCGATGGAATCAGCAGGCGGCTCGGGGGAGGGTGGGTACCAGGCTAGACAATACACATTGTCCTTCTCCCCGAAGCTCTGGGGGTTTGCACTGGACTTGTTTGTTACTCAACTCCTCTATTCTTTTCAGTTACAAAGGCAATGGCAAAGTCCTGATTATAATAGGAAAGAGAAAAGTTAAATAGAGTGCCTGTCAAATTTGGCCAACTGACCCCATCCTGGGGATGTGAAGAGAGGAGAAGGAAAAGGAGACACTGCAAGTTCTAATTCCAGATGCCCCTGGACCACCTGGGCAGCCACAGCATCAGTCTCTGTCCAGCTCACTGGGCCTGAAGCTGCCATGAAGCTTGGCAACAGAGCCTAAAACCACAGCTGGAGCTGTGGCTCGTTCTGGGACACATCTTAGCCCCCTCTCTAGTGGTCCCTGGAGGTGGAAGGGGTCTCACTTGGCAATGGGTGTGGTTGTTGCTATGGGTCTCATGCCCCGTGATGTACCATGTTGGTGTCCTGAGGCTGTCCTCTGTGTGTCTTGTGTCCTCCTAGCCCGAGTGTAATTGTGTCTGGAAGGTGAAGGTTGGGGCTGGTGGTGACCACGGTAGAGAACAGATGGGCCAAGGCAGCAGGAAGGGACCATGGCCCAGAGCTTGCCTGGCTTAGATTTTGACCTCACTCAGGGGGACTCACTGTGACGGTGCCAGGCGTTGGTGTGAAGGTCCCTTCATTGCACGGGGCTCTTCCAAGGCCTTGGACCTGATTTTTTAAATCCCTTATTTGTTCTTATTGTGTTGGCTTCAGACCTCACCAATCCTGCCAATCCTGGCACCTAGGGTGACCTCGGTAAGTTCCTCCACTCGCCGAGCTTCTGTTCTCTCACCTCGTTAGGAAATTAAGATCTCTAAAGCCTCATTCAGCCACCGTGAGAATTAACTCTGATGACACAGAGTGAGTGACTACTGCAGGGCCCCTCCTGTCCCAGGACACTGGTGACAGTGTCATTGCTCTTGCATTCCTCAGTGTGCTATCACCCTGTTCCCTGTCCAACTCTTGGTCAACGTGTTCCTGAAACTTCCCGTGGGCGACAGAGAATGGCACTAGCTCGGAGGGGGAGAACCCACAGCCTGAAGCATTGCTCCCTTTCCTTGTTTAACATACACCCATCACCCTGTCCCTTAAGGTCCCCTGGTTGCCTTCTTAGTGAAAAGCTTCATTGACAGGCGCTCCATGTCCATGTGCTGAAACACGGCTAAGACACCGCCATCCGAAGACACGAGGCAGCACCCATACATTCTCTGCCAGCTCCCCCCGACACCTGCCCACTCATCCCTTGGACCTGGGCTCAAGCTGGGAGCCTCAGTGAATGATCTGTTTGCGTGCTGGCCCCTGTCAGGAAACTTCATGTTGAACTTTCTGCTCTGGTAGGAGTGAGGCGGATGTGGTAGAAACTAGAGTGACTGGAAGATGCTAATTCCTTTTGTGTCTGTATTTGAAGCTCTCACTCTTAAAGACATGCCCAGGCAAACACAGATCACAGAAAGAGACCTGGGTGGGCACCCCAAGATCCAGGGTCCCTCCGTCCCAGGACTTGACGGATCCTCGGTCCCTTAACTGCTTTCTCCCTACTCGGTGTCTGCTCCCCATCAAGATTTATTCTGTACCACACACAAACGCACCGGGTAAAATATGCGATGAGGAAACAGGGGGAATAGTTCATAAATATTCTCAGCCATATGCAAACAATCTAAAATTTATTTTTCTCTTTTTTTTAAGGAGGAAAAAAATCCACCCATTCCATGATCACTTCCAGATTCATTGAGGTTGATATTACATAAGACCTAATATTGTTTTCTCATCGCAGAGAAATAATGACTTGGAAATGGCAATTTGAGCTAGGAAAATAATATAGTCTTACCAGGGTATGGAGGCCGGGTGGGGACTGGGGAGCCAAGACGCTAAGCTGGCCTCCAACAAAGTCTTGCCAGCAGGCACGGTGCCTGGGTTGGCTGGCAGCTGGGTGCAGCACCAGGAACACAAGGCCACCAGGACCCCAGGGGCTCAAAGCCCGAACAGTGAGGGACAGATGTCACAAGGGCGTGGGTTTCTGCATGATTTCTCCATAGGAACCAAGGCTCACCTCTGACCACTCTGCAGCAGGATGGATGTCTGTTCCACTGTCCCCCCAAGAGGGAGTTTCCTGTCACCCGCTGAGCCCCCACCCCTTTCCTGTGCCCGTCATGACACCCACCAGCCTCCTTCCCCAGCACTTGCTGAATTTCAGGGGTGACCCTGGGATGGGCAGCTGCTGACATGGGAGCTATGACAGCCTCTTTTAGCAGGAGGAGAAACCAAGTCTCAGATCACACAGGGCACATCCCCTCATGCAAGCACACATCCAGATGGGTCCTTAAACACCAAACTATTCCTGGGTGTTCAGTGAAAATGTGCCCTATTCAGTTTTCAGCTGCTCTGGTCCTCCTTCCAGGCGCCCATCCCCTGCATGGTAGGGAAACAACAGCGTTCATTCAGAGGGCTCTGGATTGTAACCCAGTCTGATGTCATAATCCAAACAGTCCCTCTGGGGCACTTTCCATCTCTTTTGCATAAAACTGCTCAGTTTTGGAGCAACCTGCCTCTCCCTGCTCTTCCTACTTCATTGCTGGGGTGGGGTGGGGTCAGAGTTGCTGTGACTTCATGCACTGGGGAAGTGGGGGTGCTGCAATCCATGGGCAGGGAGGCCCTGGGAGCCTGGATTCCTTCCAGCAGGAAGGGGATATTGGCCCCCTCCAAACTGTGGAAAGATGCCCAAGCAACACAGGACATGGGATTCCCTGCCTCTCTCCTCTCATCTGTCCCCAAGTCCCCTGAGTGGGAGGGGTGGCTTCTCGATGCCAGGCCACCCATCAAGCCCAGAGCCCGAGCCTCCTGGCTGGGCACACAGGCAGCATGCTCAGTTCTCTGAGTTCCGAGTCCTTCAGGTAGGGACACTCGATGGGTGAAGAGGGGTAGATCAAAGACAGTAGTTACTCTCTGGTTGGAAATACTAGCTAGACTGTCAAAAGCTGAATTGTGAATGGGCTTTCTCTCTTCCAATTCCATCTACACTCAGAAGTCCCATAGCTGGAGGATGGCTGGGATGAAGTAGAATCCATACTTTGAAAGGAGACACATGTTTTCAAAATGTTAGTCCTATTCTGTGAGTTTGGAGCAATATCAGGATTGAAAGGCAGGGCTGCTGGGTTCCAAAATTTAAGCATCTACCCCATGAGGCCATGTCAGGATTCCAAGGGATGTCCTACCGCTCCTTAGTATCCTCATGGCCGGACACACGCCATCCTTGTACACCTTACTTCCCTGGTGACAGAGGACAGCACTTCCTTGTGTCCTGCTTCCCAGCTAATTTGATAGCATATTTGCTTTTAGCTATGAACAGTTGACAGAATTCTTGGAACTGTTGGTGGTGAGCTTGAGTCTAGAAGGGGCTCTCTCTGAGTGGAGGGACCGATAGGGCTCTGCACATGGTTTCTCAGCAGCAAGTGTTAACTCTGCCCATGCCTGGCGCCACTGCTGTCACCAGTCTGTGACACCGTGGGACAAAAAGTAAGAGATCCACTTTGATTTTGCCTAGGACAAAGGAAACAACTCA